GAGTATATTATTTACATTTCGAAAACATTCGAAAAAAATTGAATTTTTTAAATACTATAAAAAACTTCCTGCGAACGCTCAAAACTGGCGTTACAATAATTGCTCACAATTCACAGCAACATTCGATTATCAGTCGAAATCATCATTTTAACATGAAAATGATTCGAATAATTTGAGAGTCGATCCATGATATCTTTTTTCCTTTGGTTAAATGTAATCTCCGATTTTTGGAATGCCAGAATGTAGCAGATGTCAATGACAGAATATAGCAGATTACAACATCGTGCACAGATTACGGAGACGTTGTCTTGCACGACGTAATGGTGCTGAACGGGTTGGACGAGAATGTTCACCAGGTGTTAAATCTGCAAGTTACCAGCTTTTTTTTTTTCCTTGTTTCTTACCAATTAATAAGTGAAGAAGGACGGATTTGAATAATATTGATGAATGCAATTAAATGAGATAATTAAATAATTAAGTAGAAAATACGATAATAATCTCATCATGAAAAAAAAAATGTGAGAAAATTTGTTTAAAATTTTAATACATATCGCATATTTCATCATATCCTTAATGTGTAACTGATAATACTTGATACTAACATAAGCAGCTTAATAACTAATATAGATCTTTTTAATTGTATTTGTGTTAAAATATTCATATTAATTAAGATAATATTTTAATAAGTGATTCATCAACTTCATTGTTTGTTTAATTGCAGAAAAATCACTAATTACTATATAATAATGTCAAATATTTGCAAATTAATATGAAAAAAAAACGTGTAAAATTTCGGAAGCATTAGATCCGTTGAATACATAACTATATAACTACATAACTATACTAGTGCATTATAAATGTCCGTTATAAGTGCTACATAATGATTTGGAAAATATTAAAATAAATCGATATGATTACAAATATATGAATTGTTTTAAAAATCTTGAATAAATAAAAAACCAACTTGTTGAAAGTTTAAAAAAATTGATGATAATATCGATATTTATGGGTAAAAAATGCTACCAAATGTTCGTTAACGCATATGGAAATACTTTTGATCGTTGCAACAGAAATACTTTTTACGTAAAAAAATAATAATTCTAATTATTTACACATACGAATTGTTTTAAGAATTTTCAAAAAATTTTTGGGATATTTCTTGATAATTTATTGCAATCTTTTTTTTGAATATCTTATTCCGCATCAATGATAGAAGAAAAAAAGAGAAGAGAAAATTCAGTATAACCTTTTGTTTCAATTCTTGGTGCTGGCAATACGGTTACGCATGAACATTCATCTGCTCCATCTTCTATCATTGGTAAATCGTTTATCAGTGAAATTATCGGTATTTCCTCAAGGTTAGATTTTTGATAATGCAAAGCTTCTTGTTTGGTATCTGAAAATGAGAGAACAATTCAAAATACAGAAACTTTTAATTATGAATTTTTAAATTAATAATTAATAATAGACAATTTGTCACCTATACACGTGATAGCTTAAGAATCTAAGGAAAATTCAAAAACAACTTCATTCTACTCATTCAATGTGTTAAACATCTCAACGAATTAAACCTTACGTCTCACATATTGATCATCATAACCATTTTGATCAGTAACAGACAAATGCTTTGGCGAACCTTCCACGGTCCATTTATTACGTTCTCCTATCCAGTATTCATAACGTGGTGGTGATGACGGACGCGGTAGATCATAGCGAATCGGATTACGCTCTATCTGTAAGTAGAGCTGTAACAGTCAAAAATGGATTATTGATTTGCTGAGCTAAACTGCAACGTTTCTTACCAAATAAAGTCTGAGAAATATTCGCACATCTGAATTCAGTTTCTTTAAAGCATGATAACTTTTCATATGATATGTTTCAAATTAAAAGATAAAATTTCATGTCAAACAAATTGTTAGAACTAACTCTTGTTTCAGTGCTGGAATAATAGGTAGATGGCAAAGATGAGGCTTCATATCTAACGCGTTGCATACGTAAATCACCCTCGATGGCAACTCCGGCAAACGTTCGAGGCAGTGTACTGCTCATGAAAATACCTCTGTCGTGATGAGCATAAGACGAAACTTCGGGTGGTGGTGGTGGTGGTCGGTATTGACGTCGACTGGTTGCAAAATGGGAAGGTGAAGCCGGACGTGGTCGACGACGTTCAATATAGATACGTTTTTTGTACGAGACAGATGTTGTTTCACTAACCGTTGTCCAGTGTAAATTGGCTGTTGGAGAAACCTTTCGCGCTCTTATTTTACCGGGACGTACTGTAAAATCACGAACGCTTTGTCGTATGCTAGCTGATTCCAGCGGAGAGGACTCGAATACATTAAGTTCATCCCAGCTTGCGTCCGATGCCAAGTCGATACCGATATCAGCGTTAAGATTATGACACGGCTTTGACTGACGCTCTGAATGTCGTCCGATCCAGTAGTCTACTTCACGAGTTTTGCGGTGATAATCAAAATCGTAAGGCTCCGACACTATTTCGGAATGCGTGGCCCTTGAAATATCATCACGGCGCATAATTCTAGGCATTTCTGGAACTACTGGCACAGAATGCGCAATATCGATCGGTAAAGGCCGACCACTTGCGCTTCTGCTAGTGATAGATACGTCAAATCCAGTCGCCTTCTGTTCCGATGTTGAACGCAAGATGAGTGGTTCCAGGGGACGATATATTCGGTATTCACTGTCATTGTAAGCAGGTGCTGAAGGAGAAACCAAAGGCTTCCCATCATCAGTAGCAAGCATGCGGTCGTGGGAACCAGCATCTCCTAATGCTTGAGTGGCATCAGCAAATGCTTCACTTGGTTTCCTCTCTTCAATTGGTACGAATTCATCCGATCGACCGCTGTGATAAGCAGTTATCAATTGTTCAAACGGTTCATCTTTCATATCTGGGATGCGATAAGTTGCATCAATGGGGCCATCGTAAGCTTCTGTTAAAGGGTAATCAGGATATATATCCTCCTTTTTGGTGGTTATTTTCGCGGTCACAAATGGTTTCTCACTAGGCGCTTCAGTTGGCACGTAGTCATCCGATCGACCGCTGTGATAAGCAGTTATCAATTGTTCAAACGGTTCACCTTTCATATCTGGAATGCGATAAGTTGCATCAAGCGGGCCATCATAAGCATCTGTTACAGGGTAATCAGGATATATATCCTCCTTTTTGGTGGTTATTTTCGCGGTCACAAATGGTTTCTCACTAGGCGCTTCAGTTGGTACATAGTCATCCGATCGACCGCTGTGATAAGCAGTTATCAATTG